ACCCCCACCCCTCCCCCCATGCTCTCTTTTTTATGTCCAGTCCTTTCTTTTCCCCTCGAATGAACGCCAGCGTTGCGACCGCCGCGCTTCCCTGTGCGAGAGAGAGAGAGAAAGAGAGACGGTTGCCTGTGTTCGTGTGTGCGTGCGCCCATGTGTGTGCGAGCGAGCTCGTGTGTGTATGTGTTGGGGGGAGTGAGCGAGCCAGAGAGGGAGAGAGACACCGAAAAGTTTAGGAGACGAGGGGTATGGCGTGGAGCATCTGTCTCGTCACGTCTCGTTCTCTCTCTCTCTCTCCCCCCCCTCTCTCTCTCGCTCTCCTGTAGCGTGTGACACTGCAGGAGGTTGCCCGTGACGTCGCCCCTTCTCTTTTTCTACACCGTCTCTAGATCTTTTCTAAATACCTATCCTATGGCCCACCGGGAAGTACATGCATTGCCCAGTTCAGTTTACTCACTCGCGTGCTATGGCAGATCCAGAAAATATAAGTGAAAATAGAGTGAAATGGGGAGAAAACATAAACTGAAAAGTCCTAGCAAAAAATAGAAATGAAAACAATATAAGAAAAGAGAGAGAATGTGTCACCATTATTTGTTTTGTAGCGAACCGGCTCGGTTGGTGAGCGTGACCAGCGCTGGTCCCCGCCCTTCACCTCCACCTCCCCCTTCCCCCACCCAGAACCGGTTGGAGCTGCTGCTGCCGCCGCCTCCTCCGCAGCGCGCTACGGCGGCGGGCCGGCGGTGGGAGGCAGTCGTCCGCGCCAGCCAATGGGAGGCCCTGCCCCGCCCCGCCCTGCCGCGCCCCTCCCCTCCCCGGAAGAGGAGAGGGTGGGGGGAGGTGCTCCCCGGAGGCTGACCGCCCGCTCCCCGCCCGCGCCCGCGCCGGCCCACAGCGGGTCAGTCTCGAAGCAACCTTCGCCGGGGGAGCGTGCGTATCGCTGGCAGTCTCGTTCGTCGTCTGCTTGCCTGGCCTGGCCTGGTGGCCCAGCCCCTCTCCCCCGCCCCCACCCCCTCGCACCCCCGCACCACCCTGGAGCAAGACGGCCACCCCCCGCCCCAGCGCGACCCACAGGATTAGAGTGCAGTGCTACGACAGTGGTGTGTGTGGTGGTGTTGTTTGTTTGGTTTCCTACAAGTTTCCAGTGCGACAAAGTGAATCTACTTCTGCATAACCCGTGGCCCGAGTGCAAATTTCTTGGTTTTTTGAAAAATACAAATATAAAAGTGGCCGGCTCGGCGGTTATTTGAGTGCGCCGTTCGTCCGCCAAGAGTCCCGCCCTGGTGTGCCTTCGCGAGGGTGTTCCGGCCAAGTGGAACACCCAACACGCTTCTGCGATTGCTTCGTACGGACTACTTCGGCAGGTGAGTTGATCAAGGGTTTGGGCGTTTGCAAAGCCGGAGCGTATTATTGATAACCCTTTTTGAAGTTCAAGTTGAAGAAGTTACTAGTTCGCACACACGCGGGACATGTATGGGCAGTTTTGACAAGTGTTGTTTCCCAGCGCCTTCAGTGAACAAACGGTCCATGATATCTAGATGGCCTTAATCGACGCACCAAAAACAGATAATGTCTATCGTAATGGATTCATGAAATTTCAATAATATTTTGCAGTGTGGTTGGTAAATGTTCATACTGCTGTACTGGAAGATGGCATTTCGTTTTAAAAGGAAAGTTCCCTGTTCTGTGCACTACATGTATACGGACACAATTCTGATGAGATTCCTTTGTATTTTAGATCGGTAACCTTGGGATGCTAGTTTGCTTGTCTCATGTTCATTTTAAAGTTTTCTATTAAGTTTTTAAATGTCACAGGGCTCACATTCAGATGCAGAGATAACCACCACATAATATCTTTTCCCATTTGAAATTTTGCTTGTTGGTAACGTTAAACTTTAGGGTCAGCCTCAAATCTTGTCAAAGTATCTTCGGGACTTCTGGGTAAATTATTTCAATATTACTAAT